TCTCAGTTCCCTAAAAAATCAGAACATCCTTAGGTCAGAACTTAAATGGCATTGCTAATTAGAGCATGAGTGCCATCTAGTGGTAGCCATGGCTAACTACTGGCTTACTGGTGAACAAAAAAAAATTGGTGGTGAAAATACACTGCTGCTTCTTTATAATGCAGTCTGTTGGAGTTAGTCTCAGACAAACAAATGAGACGTTCTATATAGACGCTACTCAGCCAATAAAAAATTAAAAGCAAAGTATATCAGATTGAGGGGTGGAAGGATTTAGTTTCTGGTCCACAGGAGGCATACAGTCTAGTTCTATACATAAAGATCTACACAAAGTATTTTAAGCTGGATTCCAAGTACACTTTGGAAATATTGTAGATGAGACTAGGAATGGCTAATATATAAAGGTGGGAATAGTATTTGATAGCAATATTTTTGAAGGATGATTATTTTGATGTAGGGCCAAATATCAAAGACAGGTCAAGTTAATGTACCTGATAGACTTGGGAGATAGGGAAGAGGTGGAAAATGATCAAGATGCAGCACACATATGGCCATCCCTTAAAACCATAAAGAACAAATTAGACTAATTATAAGGAACCATTAGATATTTTTATCCCATACTGAGAAGAATGGTATGTCAACAGCAACAATACAGAGAAATATCTGGTCATGAGCAAATTAATCTCAGGTTTTGTTTCTTTACGGAAACAACTTTATATCCAAAGGTCTTGGTGAAAGAATGCTACATAAAAGAGAAGTTAGACATCTGTAAAAGTAAGTGAATTAAAACTGATAGAGATCCTGAGACTTAAAATATACCCAAGAAAAAAAAATAGAAATGCGTATCTAAAGGAATCGACTGGATGAAAACAAAGTAAACTTTACTTTTAAATTAGTAAGATTTCAACTCTTACTTCTATTTTCTAAAATCTTAATTAACTGCAAATGTTTATGGTTTGCATAAATGGTTGGACCAAAATGTCACAAAGGGTGAGCATAAATTCCACCCTAAAGGAGGTTAGATATTTGCAGCTTCTGTAAGTAAGAGTTGGTACTGTGACCACCAAAAGGTTGACCACCACAGTCGAATTAGAGCTCCTCTCTCATACTTCTTAATAGTTTTAGTTGCCAATGTTATCAACACATCCACAAAGTAGACTATGTTCTTTAGTGTTGTTTACTGAAGCAGCTGTTAAATTAATTAAGTTGGTATATTTCCCAAGTCTGATTAAGATATGTTTACTTCTGCTTTCACAAAACAGCTGTGATATGAGTACTAAGACTAATCTTCTAAGAAACTCAAAATATAATTAAAATTATATTTTGTCCAGTTCAAGTAAAAGTTTACTTTTGCTTCTTCATGTGTTACTTTGCACTTTTATAGGGAATAATGGTATATATTGAAAATGCAAGATTTTGCTTCCCTTAATGTTTATCTTAGTACTTACACATTCACCATTCTTGGTAACACATTACCATAGAGGATTAAAACATCAAAACAGAAAATCAAATGCTAAAAGAATCTCCAGTAGGCAAGGCAGGTGATCCATGAAAGATGATAGATGTCGACATGAATTCACCATTACTCTGCTTCCCTACATTTATGCTATGATTTGATGGAACATAATAATAGTTATGATCTGTTAACTAGAACCTAGAACCTTATCTGAGTCAAACGAAGAGAAAGAGAAAGGAGGGTATGATTTAAATAAAAATCTGTAGCACAAGACAAAAGCTCAGAGGCAACTCAACTGCTACAGATGTGCTGCATCTGCTTGTTTGCCCATTGGGGACAATGAGATAAAGAGATTAAGACATTTACACAAAGATGGCTAGACAATAAGATCAGATCAGCAACATGACAGCTAGGTTGAGGTGTCATAACCATAGCATGGAGAAAGCGACCTAGTGAACCACTTAACCCACTTACAAACAATGTTTTAATTAACTTAATGTACAAATGATATTTTATCAGGGTACAGGACAAGCTGGTTAATTCAAAAAATGTCATTAACATCAAATAGAGAAAACCAGTGATCTTTCAATAATGCCATTTCATTAAGTAAACAGCATTGGAATTTAATAACGGGGCATACATACTTTTACACGTTTTAAATACAAATCTTACATCCAAACAACTATTTCACAAATCCCATTTTCACATGTCAATAGTAGAAAATCTTGGTCATGATATGTGAAAAGATTTGATGTTTTCTTCGAAAACACAGTTAGTTTTTTTTTTTTTTTTTCTTTTTAGTGGAACTCTAACAAGAAGTGTTGTTTGTTTGTTTCTTATTTTAAGCACCGTTGTTTCTCTGATTCCAGACATTGACCTGCTTAAACCTGAACACTGTGGATATAAAAGGTTACAGAAGCGTACCTCATCTATAGAGCCTCTACTCTCCAAGCACAAGATTTTAAAAATATACAGCACATAAGTTAACTGCATAATAGCAAAATTCTAGAGAAAGATGAGTCAGATAGACTAACAGTTTGTCTATTACATATACAGATAGTAATAGGGAATATATAATTGTATATTATTACAAATTAGAACATTAAAAGTCATAAAAGAAATAAGAATAAATATAGTCACTCTTTCTGGGTCCTGAATGAAGTGTAGCCAGGTAACCTAGTCACCCCCAAATAATGACTGAAGTCAACATTTTAAATTTGAACTGACAGAAATAGACCTTACTATTTTTAATTAAACAGATTCAACATTTCCTTTCCCTCCCTCTAAATTATCAGATAACTTTGCAAGGAAAAGTGCTATTACATTATCTACCTGTTTCAAAAATATATTCACACCATATTCTTGTGATAATATTGCTCTCTTTATAAAAAGTAAAAACATTGAAAGCTTTTATTTAGCTCTTGCTTAAGAAAGGAGAAATATTTAGTCCATTTACATCATGTAAAAGTAAATTTTCTTGTTCATGTTAATGGTAGGAGGGCACCATGAATCATGTGACCGATGGCGTTTCCTTCTTTACATTGGCTGCTAACAACCTTAATGGTAGGCCTAGCACCATTTGTAACAAAAACATCAATGTGGTTTTCTCTATAAACCTCATTTCTGGCTTCATGGTATTTCTCCTCCTATCACTTTACCCTTTGTCTTGATCTCACTGACCTACATTTTTTATTTGTTTTTTAAAAACTGAATAGATTTTTATAAGCCAACTTAACATCCTTTCTACAGCAAAGTTAGTTGAAAGAAATTGTGTGATATAATGACTCAAAATGCCCAAATTATCAGGTCATTGGTAATATAGAATGGAGTTCTAAGAAGGGAAGACAACTTTCAGAAAGATTTCTACACTCCCGACCCCTCTTTCAGGCTACATGTGCTAAATTATACACTTTTAAAGACAAAAACCTCATCGCACAATAAAAAGAATGCGTTAGAGCTCCTACACTTTGAATTTATTTTGTGATTTAATGTGGTTATAAAAGTCCCGATAGTTCTCTCTGTGAACCGACAGCCCGACAGAGGAGAAGAGCCAGTGGGGCAGAGAAAACGCCACAGAAGGGGAATCTCTACAACGATCCCTCAGTTAACACATAAAGAAGATAACCTAATTACTGGAAAGCAGGAACACGAAAATAAAAAGTATGGAAGGGTGGAGAAGCATTAAATGCACACAAATTTGTCTTTGCTACAGAACAAGCAATCAGCCCAGATCCTGAGGGTAGCGATTAAAAGCAGAGACTGGGTGTTTGTACATCATTGGATGAATGATAAGCAGCCAAGAAACAGGAAAAGACTAATTTTAATTACCAGAAAAACTGCAAGAGAAAAAATACAGAGCTAGTGGTAGACGGCTTCCAGCTACAGGCTGCATGGCACTGTACTCTCCTTGCCAATTAGAGCCAGTCAGACCCCATCAGGGGATTCAGCGAGCAGAGGAATCAGCGTCAGTTCAGGGTCAGGCTGCTCTCAAACACACATGAAAAACGGACACCAGCGGACACGGGGTGCGACCCTAGACTCCCATGCAGTTTCTTATATAGACACAGAAATAGAAAGCAGTGAGATTACCTTTCCATTAAATACAGGTGCAAACCACATTCTCTATGGACATATATTGCAAAGGAAATGTCATATAATTTATTTAACAAATACCCAATTACCATCAGACCAATCGCGGGAATTGGAAAACGACTCAAAGACTGAGAGGAAAAAAAACAGAAAAAGTAGAGAGGAGGACTGGCAGAACAATGGCACTAAAGCTGCCACACTGTGGATTTACTACCTGTGTTATTTTTCCAATTACAGCCATTGTAATATAAAAATTCAGAAAAAAGGTTGCTGTCTGAGAACATTCCTTCGCTTTTTTTTTAGAACTGACTCAACACCCCAAATCAAAGAGAAATATAAACAGGCAGAGCCTGATAGTCCTTAGTGAAACTCGTGAGTGCAGAAACAAAAGAGAAGTGCTTCCCATTCTGGACTTAAGAAAATTCTACAAAGTGAAAAAGTCCAGTCTCAAACCGACCTAAGTGAAAGCGTCAGTCTGTGCTGCTGCTGTCAGAGGTGTGAGCCGGGGACTCCAGGAATCAGAGAGAAGACAGGAGCGGAGGAAGGGACCCTCGCCTGGATCTCCCGTGTCTCCAGCCAGCACGTTTGCTTTGTAATCTATGAATGTTAAATACGGAGGGTTTGCAGAGCAGACACGCCTGGGAGAGGGGGGCAAGTCCTCTGTACTTAGCAGGGAAGGAGAATGCCGGTTGACTGGTGAGGCGAGTGGAGAAACACAGAGAAGCCTCCTGGAGGCGCACAGTTCGTTAAGCCCGGGGACATGCTAAATGAACCTTTGCAGCAGGAGGCAGTGAGGCGCTGGACGCGGGCGCCGGCGACAGCGCGGGCGGGCGGGGAGGGGCGAGGGGCCGCCCCGGGAGGACACAGCCAGTCAGAGGCGCGGGGCGCGGGGCGCGCGGACGCATTGGAGGAAAACACGCGAGCCCCAAACACACCAGCCGGAGGAGGCGCCGCACCTACTTCCCAATATAACCAACTACGGCTGGGGGAGCGGAACTGCAAGAAGACGGCAGCCAAAGTGCCATTAAAGCTCGGGGCGGAGAGGATGCGTTACCTGGGTCCCCTCTGCTGCAAGAGGCAGGGCAAGCTGGAGGATTCCCTCTGAATGATTAAGAACTCCGCAATTCGCCTCTGCCACAGGCTGCAAAGGACCCGAGGAACCGCTCTCTCTGAACTGTGCTGATGGGCAGGAGGATGGGAGACAGGAATTGAGAGTCACAGAGGAAGGACAGTGGAGTCTGGCATCTTATTGGTAAGTGGCTGACATTCCTTTGCCAGTGACTGCGTTCTGTGATTGTGCACTTCATCTCCCAGCCACTTAGGATTTTTGACACACTCGCTTCTGCAAAGCCATCCTTTCTTGCCATGTTGCCAGAATGTAAAAACTGTAAGATGAAGCTTTTTTTAAATATAAGAAAGAAAACACGATTTTATTTTCTGCTAGGATATTATGGCAAAAAGTTGAAACAAGAGTAAATATAACCCATTTGTGTATCTCCTAATGCCACCCAAAATAAGAGTAGACAATTCCTACACGTAAATTGTAAGGCGATAAATGCCAGGATAAAGTGAGGATGTTTCTACAAAGGAAACTAAGTGTTCGGAAAATAGGATGTTCTCAGGTACTGGATGTATGTCTTATGTTTGAGCAATGAGTTTCTGAGACTAAATAATTGGGTATCTGGCATTGCAATAACTTGTTAAAATTCAGTAGGGATGCTCTGTAAGTGGAGTTCTACAAAGTTCGTGAGACTGAGAAAAACTGTACCTTGGATTAGGCTGAGTTTTTTTCTAAAGGTTGTATAGGATTGTGATAGGTTAAAAAATTATGTTCAGACATCCTTAACATGTTTTGTGTGGAGCTATATCGAAGGGAATATCAATCTACACATATATAAACCTGATGTACTGTAAGCTGAGAATTACTCTGATGACCTGAACAATACGTTGTTTCAACTATATTTATTTGCGAAAGAACCAGAATCCACTACAAATATTAGAATCCACTACATATATTACTTTTAAATCTTAGAAGCGTTCTCCCAAGAAAAATATAATTTCATGTGGTAATTTAAATGCAGGTGAGAAGCAAAAAACTTTTAAACTGTTGTATGTTCAATGCCTTACCTACATTAAATTCATTTATTTCTTAATTTAAAAGAGAAAATCATTTAGAGGGCCAGAACTTCTACTTTGATTCTCAATTTCGACTGTGGAAATAAGGATGAAAGAAGTAGATGTTCATTAGAATACTAGCATTTAAAAAATATAGACAAATAGTTGAATTTAAATATTAATGCAGATATCATCAATTACTGTTAAACTGCAACAGAACTACAGAAGTACTTATGACCGTTACAGGGAGCTTAAGGGGGTTCATTATGATTAATATTGTGACTCTCAGTATTTTAGAAAATAATGACTAGGTCATTACTGTTTTTGAAAATGCCTGTAGTCAATTTTGGGCAATTCTCATGGTTGCTTGCATCTTCTCCTGTTTCATGCTCAAATTATTCTAAGTTATGTGGGGACTAGTATACTGGGTCTTAAACTTAACAGGCATAAGTTTGCTCTGACTTTAATCGAAAAGAGATGTGACTAAGAATATGTCATATAAAACTAATGATAACAAATTAAAGATATTACATACAAAGATCATCTAAGTCTGTTAAAGGGAGGAAAAGCAAAAACAAAATCAGAGTTAAAGTTACAAAAAGGAAAATGCAATATAAAGAATATAATTTGAAAAATAGCTGGAGTGTGAGGAATAATATTAAAGCCTATCTGAAAATAGAAAGTCAGTGAAATTATTATTACAAGTGCCAGTGTTTTTGCTTAGGAATTGGTGTATCCTTTAAATTATTTAAAACTTCTGAAAATTGAGAAAGGGGGAGAAAAACTGCTAATTTTAATTTCTTTCTAATTCCATAGACAACTAAACAGAAAGTTAGATTCTTAAAAGTCAGATAAAAATACAATCACATAGATTAACTAAATGCCAGACTTTGTAAGTTGTGAGGCACATGTATACCAAGGTGCTTTTGGAAATACATCACAAAAGCTACAGTTGTGGAATTTTTAAATGAATAGCTGAAATACCTGAATGTTTCTCAAGGTGAGCAGTCAGTACTTCAAGTATTAGGTGGTCTGAAACAATTCTTAGGGAACCAAACTGAAATCAGATCATGAATCTATATATAGAATATGTTTATGTAAGAAGAATCATTAAAATTAGTAGCTTGTGAAAATTTACTTCAATCTTATGTGTCCAATTAAGTAGCACTACCTGTTAGAAATGTACCAGGTTTGGCTAATATGTATTTCTTTAAATGTCTCTTTTACTTCACAGTTTAGAAAATCTAGACCACTTTCAGGGTAGAGGTAAGAGTGTGATTGTCTGTCACAGCTGACTTAGCAAGAAGGACCAGAGGGTGTCAGTAAAGGGCAAAGGGCCCACAGAGGCTGGCCAAAGCATTTTGGCGTTTGTCTTACTTCTAGACAAAATAAAGGCATATTTTGTAAAGATTAAAGTAAAAATGATGAAAACTTCTCTAGATGGCTGTAATACTGTGAAGATGATTTGATTGTACAGAGTTTGATTGGCTAAAACAAAGTTGTAGCAGAGTTTGGTGTCTCCTTCATCAGTCAAACTAATTCAGAAATTTATGAGGCTCAGATATTATGTAATTTGCTGAATCCATTCTTTCTCACCTATCTTGATTACCTATTGTCTTTGAACTTTCTTTTTAAATATGGGTATTTTAATTTTTACTAAGTTGTTGGAAATTTGTTTCTCTTAATTTAAATAATAAACTCATACATTCATGTGGTTTGTTTTCTTGAAATTCTGACTTCAGGAGTTGATTTTATTAATCTCTTTCTTCTTTCTGACAATCCAAGCATAAAGTAAGAGAGCCATGTGTTTCTCACAAGATGTTAAGAACAGTGTTGTAAGGCTGTGCTAATATGTTACATGAACTTCTTAACACTTTATAGCAGGAAAGAGACTGGTCGGAAGCTCAAAGCAGTAGAATCACTGCAGAGGTCTATTTTCTGAGCATTTGTGATCAATAACTCCACATTAGAGGCTGGTCCATTTTAAAAAGTAATGAAGTATAGAAAACTCCTAATGCTTAAGATTTAAGATTAAAAACTACTATGAACTATGTTCCATCTCCCTACCCACTCAAGTAAGTAATCTTGTTTTATGATTTTTGGAGATTCAAATATGTATCGTTAGAAGGGTTCTAATAAATTGAATATTATTAGTTTATATTTTTCCCAGATACTTAGACAGTGTTTTTAGTTGATTTATTTAAATTGAATGACATAACATATAGTGTTTTAATACAGTGGCTATAAGAGCAGTTTTTCAATGGAAATATGTATTTGCTTTTTTAGGAAACTGGTTTTTACAATTGATTTCTTCATCAAAATTATTCTGAAGCATTGACTTGAACCTCAGGAACTTAACATAACACTGTATAACTTCAGTTATGTTTTACCTATTATATTTGCATAAGCTAATTATAGATAATTTTATGTCTATTCATCTCCATAAATTAAAACACAGGTCTTTAGTTTTATATCCCAGAGTACTGCATATTATAGTTTTGAACTTATACCCTCCTCACACGTAAGCTCATAAGTGTTACAAAGCTATTCAAGTATGGTAGTTTCTCTTTTCTGCAGTGCAGGGAGCTGGGAAATGTCCACAGAGGCCACAAAGTAATTCTGAAAAATAAATCAAGATTGTCTGTTTTATGAAAATAAAAAAAATGGATCTACCATTTGTAATCTAATATAAAATAGCGTGAGATCTATCATTCATGAGAATCTTAAGAAATTACAGTCATATTCATTTCCCATGTATTTCTTAAGCTAGAATTTCTTGTGATCGCTGCCATTTTTAAACATTTCAAAAAATGTTTCATTAGATACATTTTTATAACACAGGTGTGAAGTTGATTGTTTTTTCTTTTTTCCTAAGTGGTTCTTAAAAACTCATAATGATCTAAATAACTTGTTGCTTAATGGCTACCACTTTTAATTAATTAATTTATTTTCACAAATGACCTTCTCATAACAGATCTGACAGGACTCACCTATTTCCTCTTATGCCAGTCATGTTTCCAAATATTTCTCACACTCAATTTGCAGAGTGGAGGCCTAGATAAAAAGCAAGGAGCCAATACATTTTATGAGTTTTTGATGAAAAATATTGTTATGGTTAATATCTTTACTAGAAAATATGGAGCCAGTTAAAGGTAAAGTGACTAAACTGAACAGTATCCAAAGCAATTGCATTTAGGCAAGAAATATTTCATTTATGTGAAAAATTCTCTTTCATACCCATTGTCTGGAAAAGTATAAATATATATTTAAACATTTTATGAAGGGAGTAGGGATGTACTTCATATCATTCTTACAGCTGCTAACAACCCAGAAAGGAGAACATCTCATCTTCCATTACTATCCAGTAGTAAATGTAGTATATGTTTATGAAGAGAAATGTTGCTGATTATACAGGTGAAAAAAAAATTGAAATTCTCTTCCTTTGTGAGTATTGGCAGAAGCATTCATTATGAGGCTAAAAATACTGGGATGTTCTCATCGAGAGATATTATAATGATAGTAATAAAGTATCTGGAGCTGCAACCAGGTCTATTAATGTATTTTTACAAATATTTCATTAGTTGCAGGAGTTTTTATTTATAAATAGTAGAGAAATGGGATGTTGATTTTGTGAGAAATTTACTTTTAAGTATATAAAGTTTTATCTTTATTTTCTTAATTCATTTTATATTTGTAACTATTAAGGATTTTTTTCTGAAATTAAACAAATTATAAAGGCAATACTCAAGAATTTATAACAACTATTTTAATTCACCTAGGTTCTTCCATTTCAGTTACATGCAAGAACTTACTTTCAATTGTGCAATATTTGTTGAGATACTATGTTCTTCAGCCTTTAAATTTACTAAACTAGACAAAATCTCTGATGACTAAAAGTAATATTATTAGAAATTACAGGTGAGTGACAATAGGAATTTTTAAAAGAATTATTGTTTTCTAAAAATAAATTTTTATTTAATTGACAGTTTCATGATCATTAAATATAGTAGGAATTCCTGGGCACTGGAACAGGTTGAATGACCCCAAATATATCTGAAAACATTGTGAAAAGTCTCATGTTTAATCTGTTAGGTATTGTATTTTGCCTTATTCTATTATTTTAAAACTTTCCTCTTC